CAGGACATGCTGCATATTAGTATATTTAATAATCATAAATATTGCCTTTGTTGTTGTGTATTTCTTTTTTGTTGAGCATGTTGCAATGAGAGAGAAAAAAGAGGCAAATAAGAGAAAGAGGAGAGAGAGAGAGAGAGAAAGAGAAAGAAAAAGGAGAGCAGAGAGAGAACCAGACACACACACACACACACAAAACCATGTGCACAAACACAGAGAACCAGAATACACTCAGAACAGACACATGCATACACACAGATGCACAGAACCAGACAGAGGCAGACAAACACACAACCAGATGCGCGGACACATGGAGCCAGGCTCCTGGGCCAGTGGACAGAGTCTGACCCAACAGTGCCCTGGTCCCGCCAGAGCCCCTGTCTTCCCTGGGGAGCCAGCCCCCAGGCTGCAGTGCAGCTGGCTGAGGCCCCGGCCTGGAATACGCCCATCAGCCGAACCCCCCACACAGCTAAGCCAGCAAAAGGTACAGCGCTCCTGGCAAGAGGCAGTGCCAGCCTCATCCTGGTAGGGGGCTAGGTCAGGGCTGGGCTCGGAGCAGGTGTGAGTTAGGTGGGCTCAGCTGCAAGCCCTGTTGCAAGCAGCTCAGGCTCTGCGGTTGGCAGCAGCTACCAGAGCCTGGGCTGGCTACAGCTGGGAGGCTGCAAACAGCTGCTCTGTGCTCTGGCATCAGCTTCATACTGGCAAGCGCTCCTCAGAGCAAACAGCGGGGATAGGGCCCTCCCGCTGTCTTCTCTGAGGTGCATGTGTAATCGCCACCAGCATGGAGCTGATGCTGGGGCTGTGGAGCCTGGCACAGCTGTTTGCAGCCTGCCTACTGCAGATGCCCCAGGCTGGCTACAAACAGCTGAAACCCAGTCATCAGCTCTGTGCTGGCAGCGGGGAAGAGGCCACAGTTGCACTGCCTCAGGCCCTTTCCACACCATCTGCTCCGAGGTGCGCACGCACCCGCCGGTATGGAGCTGATGCTGAAGCCCAGAGCAGATGTTTGCTGCCACTTGGTTGCAACTGACCCAGGCTCTGGGTAGCTGCTGCCAGCTATGGAGCCCAGTCTGCTTGCAGCTTCCCAGCCACCTGCTGGGAGCAGCCTGAGCTTGGTGGCTGGCAGCAGCTGCCTAGACCTCAGGCTGGTGGTGGTGTGTTGAGCAAAATGGTCTCGTGTGCCATGCTCGGCACGTGCTGGGGGTTGCTGACCCCTGGGCTATTCAGTAACGTGTCTACTTCAAGACATAGAATGAACGATGCTTTGTGCCCAAATTTCAAGACTGCTTCTTAAAAATCTGTCTGTAGTGAATGAGAAGAAAAGTTATGTTTTCATATGTGACTTCAAGTTGAGGAACATGTGTTAAGCATTTCATGTAGCCAGTATTATTTTTAGAAATAATATGTGATTATTAAAATTCTGGGGTATTTTTGGTGAAAATAGGGTTCAAGAACCAATCCCCCATTTATAATATTTATAACTTTGTTTCTTATGAGAAAATTGGTCCGAAGTTGCAACGTTTCAGCTTAAGACGCAGTTATCAGGAACCAATTGTGTCGTAAGTCCGAGGATTGCCTGTATAAGTGTAAAGGGCGGTGGGAAGGAGACAAATGGCAATTAATATAGTTACAGAAAATAGTCCTAAAAGGAACTTTCAGAGGTTATCCAGTCCAGGTCACTTCTAATTATACCATTTTTGACAGATGGGTCTAACCTGTTCTTAAAAACCTGCAAAGATAAAGATTCCATAGTTTGTACTTAACTATTTTTCCAGGTGGAAAGAAAACAATTGGAAAACAGTTTATAATCCTTCCTGTTTGCAGCCATCATATAGGTGGAAGTGACTGATAAGGGTATGGATTTACAGGTTTCCCTTGCTTTATGCAGGTTCTGTATACAGGTTTCCCTCACTTTGTGTGGTAGATGCATTCCTGAAAAACTGTGCATATCTCAAATTTGCATAAAGGGAACCCAGTTTACAAAGTAAGAAGTAGGGATACAATCCAAGACCATGGCGATGAGGGAGAGAGTGGGGCTGGGGTTGGGGCAGGGGCAGGGCAGGTGCTGCACAGCTGGGGCAGGATGAGGGGCGGGGCTCCTGCTGCTACGCACACCCTGGGAGGGCATGGGGGGCTTGTGCCCCCGGACCTGTGTGCGGGGCAAGGGCAGGCTGGGGCTGAGGGCCATGCTGGGCTCTTCCTGGTGGGGGGGTTGGGTAGTGCTGTGCTCAGGGCAGGTGGTGGTGGTGCTGAGAGAGGGCCTATGTGAGGGGGGGTGGTCTGCAGCCACCCCAAAATTCGCCATAAACCCCCAACCTCCCTTCCTAGCGCGACTGCTGCCCACCCTGAGAGCAGCACAGCCCAACCCCCACCTTCAGGAAGAGCCTGGCGTGGTGCCTGGCCCCAGCCTGCAGCGGCAGCCTGCCCTCATCCTGTGTGCAGATCCTGGGGTGCACACAGCAGCAGGAGCCCTGTCCCTCGCCCAGCTCCAGCCCCACTCCCTCCCTCACCTCCGTGGTCTTAGAACATATCCCTATGTGTTACCTTGTAAAGTGGGTTCCTGTTACGCAAGTTTGAGTTATGTGAAGTTTTTCAGGAATGCATCTACCACATAAAGTGAGGGAAACCTGTATTGCTTGCATGTTTCCCATCTCTCCGTCTTTGCCCCTCCTTTCTTCTTCATTTCGCAGCATCTTATGAAGTGAACTTCAGCCTGTGAAAGCTTGTGCTACATACATACATATGTACACAAATATGTGTGTGTGCACTTATGCACACACACATACCTGCACACATGCTGGTTAGTCTATCAGGTGCAAATCTACCCTGCTTTCTGCTGATGAGGGAAGTCAGAGAAGCTGATGAAATACCAGAGGCCATATATAAAGGCAGTCATGTTTAGCAGTTATTTCTGTTCTGTGTCGGAATGAAGCAGGAGGCTCTGGCTGTCCATATGTCGTTACTGGAATAAAGGTTTATCATCCATAATAAATGAGGATATGAGGCATCTGTCACATTTTCAGGTGACATACCTAGATAACTTATGACCAGTAGCTTTAAAGGAACTAGCTAATGGGCTCTCTGAATCATTGTTAATTTTTGACCAAATATTGGGAAGCTAGAGACCATAAGGGACTGGAGATCTGCCAAGGTAGCTTTAATATTTTAGAAAGGTGAAAGAACCGATCCAGAAAACTATAGAACAGATCACCTGATGTTGAGCCCACATAAAAGAATAGAGACTCTGTCAATAGAGAATTAGAGGCTATAAGTTAATGCCTGTCAGCATGGTTTTATGGAAAGAAGCTTATATATGGAAATAATAATGCATATGGTACTAGCTTACTAACAATTGTTAAAAGGGAGGTATCAACAATGGGGGCTATTTCTAATCTAACCCTGGACAAAAAATGTTGATGTTTTGAGTATCATGTATGTGAGGTCTTCAAGCAGTATTTTCAGATTTCCATGCATTAGTGAATGCAGGAAATAAGATTTGATGGCCCAGGTGGCCCCTTTCATTCCCATGTTTGTATTTATTGTTTATCAAAAATGGTTTACCTCAACATGAGCTCTCAGGGCAATGCTGGAATAAAGAGCTAATGTGATCCTTGAACATATCAAAAAGAGATTGGAAGTAGAAAAGTGATCTTGCCTTCTGATGTAGAGTTTGTAAGATTACTATTAGTAGGGGTGCACTGATAAAGATTTTTTGGGCCAATACTAATGCTCAATTATTAATGAGCCATATCAGCTGATCCAATTGCCAATATGCAGCCCAGTAGCTTGGAGAGTAGCATCCAGCTGGTAAGTCTGTTAGGGGGAGGGGGCAGATCGAAGCCCTGCAGTGAGAGAGTGGGGCTGGGGCAGAGGCAAGCGCTGCCCAACCAGGGCAAAGTACAGAGCCACAAGCAGCTCATCTACGGGGTGGGGAAGGCGGTTTCTGGCAGTGTGTGCACCCCTGGGGGAGGCACGGAGGAACATGTGCCCCCCGGGTCTGTGCATGGAACAAAGGTGTGCTGCTGCTGTGGTGGACCTGGGAGCAGTGCCGGTCTCTTTCCAGCAGGGGGGCCAGGCTGGAGCTGCACTTGGGCTAGGTGGCAGCAGCAGTGCTGGGAGGGGGGCTACAGTGAATTCTGGGGTGGCTGAAGCTCCCCACCCCCTTGTAGCCCAGCTCCCAGCGCTGCTGCCACCTGTCCTGAGTGCAGCCCTGACCCAGCCCCCCTGCTGAGAAAAGCCCAGGGCCACTCCAGCAGGCAGCTCGCCCTCGTCCCATGCACAGACCTGTGGGGCATATGTGCCCCTCCCCTGTGCCTCCCCAGGGGTGTGCACAGTGACAGGAGCTTACCACACCCACCCCATGGACAAGCTGCTCACAGCTCTGTCCTGTACCCTGTCCTGGCTGAGCAGCACCTGCTCCAGCCACGCTCCCTCCCTCATCAC